TGTAGGTAGTCCCATTAATACATTTGCGGATGACATGAAAATTGGTGGAGTTGTGGATAGTGAGAAATATTATCAAAAGATACAGCCTGATATAGATCAGCTGGAAAGTTGGATGGAGAACTGGAACATGGAGTTTCATCTGGACAGTGTGACGTGATGCATTTTGGAAGGTCAGATGCAAGAGGCAAGTATACAGCAAATAGTTGACCCTTAGGAGCACTGATGTACAGAGGGATCTCAGGATGCAAAAAAGCAGCAACACAAATGGATAAGGTGGTGAAGAAGGGTGCGATAGGCTTGGCTTCATCAGTCAGGGCATTGAGTAAAAAGCAATTAAGTCATGTTGCAGCTATATAAAACTTTAGTCAGGCCACATTTGTAGTATTGTTTGCAATTCTGGTCACCACACAATAAAAAAGATGTGGGAACTTTGAAGTGGGTGAAAAAGAGGTTTACCAGGATGTCGTCTGGATTGGAGTGTATTAGATATAAAGACAATTGGACAAACTTGGATTGTTTTGGCTTGAGTTTCAGAGGCTATACTTGATAGAAGTATATAAAATTATGAGAGGCGTAGGTAGGGTGGATAGTTGGAGTCTTTTTCCCAGGGTGGAAATGTCAAATACCAGGGGGCCCAGGATTAAGGTGAGAGGGGAAAAGATTAAAGGAGATGTACAAGGAAAGTTTTTTACACAGCGGGTAGTAGGTGCCTGGAATGTACCGCCAGAGAAAGTGGTAGCAGATATGTTAGCAAAATATGAGAGGCATTTAGACAGACACATAAACAAGCAGTGAATAGAAGGCTATGGCCCATGTGTAGGCAGATGGGATTAGTGTAGAATGGTATTGTGGTTGGCACAGACATGGTAGGGTGTTATATTCGGTAACTCCCAATAAATTAGCTAAACATGATTTCCCTTTGAAAAAACCATGCTGTCTTTGCCTGATTACCTTGAACTTTGATTTGCAGGCTTTGAAGAGGGTAGAGAAATTGTTTACCAAGATTCTGCCTAATTTGAAGGGTATTAGCTATGAGGAAAGATTGGATAAACTTGGTTTGCTTTCACTTGAATGCTGAAGGATAAGGATAAGGGGCGACCTGATAGAATTTTACATTATGACAGGCATGTGTAGAAAGGATACTCAGAATGTTTTTCCCAAGGTAGAAATGTCAATTACTGGGAGACATAGGTTTAAGGTAAAAGGAAGTAAATTTAAAAGAGATGTGAGAGGCAAGTTCTTTGCATGGAGGGTGGTCCCTGAATGCACTGCATAGGAAGTGGTGGAGGTGGATACAATAGCAACATTTAAGAAGTATCTTGTCAAGTTACATGAATAGACAGCGAATAGACGGATATGTACCAAACAGAGATAAAAGGTTTTTAGTTTAGAAAGGCATCATGTGGCAGCTCAGTCTTGGTGGGCTGAACAGTGTGTTTGTCTGTGGTAGTTCTTTATTTATCCTAGTGTCCTGTTACGACTTATTTAATAATAGTTTCTAAATTTTTTCTATGACAGATATTGAGCTAACTAGCCTCTGATTTCTTGCTTTCTGTCTCCCTCCCTTTTTGAAGAAAAGAGTTACATCAGATATTTTCTAATCTAAAGAAATCTTCCCTGAATCTAGTGAGTTTGGAAAATTAAAACCAATGCAAAAGCTATCTCACACTCTATTTCTTTCAAGACCTATCAAATCTATCAGTATCTCAGTATTTGTCAACTCACATTTTCAACAATTTGCTCAGTACTACTTCGCTGGCCATTATAATTTTCTTCAGTTTCTCTCCCTTTGAATTCCTGATTTATAGCTATTTCCAGGATGCTGCTTGTTTGCTTTCTCATGATTACTAATGCAAATTAGGTGACTAGATATAGCACTTGGGGCAAATGGGATCAATGATTATGTGGAGAAAGCGGGATTAGCCTATTGAGTTGGACAATCAGCCATGATCGTGAAGAATGGTGGAGCAGGCTCGAAGGGCCACTTAGCCTCCTCCTTCTCCTATCTTTTACGTTTCTATGTTAATTCATCTGCCTTCTCTTTATTCTCCATTATTAATTTCTCTAACTCATTTTCTGTACTAATAACACTTATTTCAATAACTCTTGTTCTTAGATGACTTAAGAAACTTTTCCTCTTTATATTTTTGGTTAACTTTCATACTATGATTGTTCCCTCCTTACAAACCTTTTAGTAATTCTTTGCTTTTACTTTTTATACTCTGTCCAATCTCCTGATCTGTCATCCATCTTTGCACAATTCTATGCGTTTGAATTTGATATCACCTTTGACCTTTTTTTCAGTTAACCATGGATGTGGATACCTGTCCCTCAGAATTTTTCATATTTCCCAAAGCCTTCTTTAAAGCGAAGTTATTAATTGGCCCTTTCTCAATACACATCACTAAATCCAACGAAACCACAATGCCTAGTTGGCTCTTCAACATACTGTTCCATAAACTATCTTGTACACACTCTAGGAATTCATTCTCCACTTCAATAGTGCTGCCTTGGTTAACCCTGTCTATATGTAATTTGAAGTTGACTATTATTATAGTTTTAACCATGTTATGTGCATCTCTAATTTCCTGCGGATAGCATGCCTAACATTTGCACTATAGTTAACAATGTAGCATGCCTAGTATTAGTGCTAGTTTTGTAATCTATAAACAATTCCCACCAATGTTTGCTGGCTCTTTTCTGTTTGTTAGCTTCAAACAAACTGATTCTGTTTCTTTGTCCTTCGATCAAAGATCCTCCCTCATTAATTCACTGATCTTGCACTTTATTAAGGGTACCTAAGATGATGCCATAAGTGGCGACTTGTAAACTTTTCACTGTACTCATGTGAGTATATGTGACAATAAAGCTAATTCTAATTCTAAAGTGAGTACGCCTCCTTTTCCTAGCAATTAAATTATATCTACTTATCTCAAATTGTGCATTCAATTCATTGACCTTTTTGTGACAGCTATTTGCATTCAGATAAACTGCTTTTATTTCAGTCTTTTTAACATTTTTTCTCTATTTAGTTTACTTGATGCTTGCCTTTGTTTTGATAGTCTTCCATTCTTGTTTCTTATTTTTCTACTTCCTTTCTCTAGCTTTGCTTTGCTTCAATCTGAGCTCTCTTTTTCATTACAATTCCCTAGCCCACCTAGTTCAAACCCTTTTCAACAGCACCAGTGAACCTCCATTAGGATGTTAGCTCCAGTCTTTCTAAGATGAAACCTGTCAATCTTATAGAGTTCCCACCTGCCCCAGATTTATTGTCATGTGTACCAAAGTACAGTGAAAAGCTTTGTTTACTAGCAGTACAGGCAGAACATAGTAAGCAAGGATGTACAGATCAAAAAGACTTAGAGGCACACAGGTGACATTGCACAAGGCATGCACTAGGCAAAATCAACATTAACAAGATTAGCTTTATTTGAGGCTAAACAGTCCACTCATCAGTCAAATGATGGCTGGGAAGAAGCTGTTCCTGAACCTGCTGGTGCATGTATTCAGGCTTCTGTATCTTCTGCCAGATGGAAGGGGTTGTAGGAGATCATTACTGCAGTGCGATGGGTCTTTGATGACATTGGCAGCCTTTCCGTGGCAGTGAGCTATGTAAATAGAGTCCATGGATTGAAGGTTGGCTCCTGTGATGTTTTGGGTTGTGCATACCACATTCTGTAGTTTCTTACGGTCCTGGGCAGAGCAGTTGCCATACCAGGCCATTGTGCACCTGGACAGTATGCTTTCAATGGTGCATCTGTAGAAGTTGGTGAGGGTCCTTATGTACATGCCCAATTTCCTGAGCAGCCTGAGGAAAAATAGGCGTCGTTGTGCAGGAAAACTAATAAAATGTAAGATGTGTCAGTTGTATAGGACAATGTTGAGACCACATATGGAATATTATTGGCCAATGTATTTAAGGTAGGATGTAAATATGTTGGAAGCAGTTCAGAGAAGGATGACTTGACTAGTACCTGGAATGGTGGGGAATAAGGTGTTTTATGAGGAAGGGTTGGACAGATTAGGTTTGTATTCGTTGGGAGTTTAGAGCAATAGAAAGTGATTTGATTGCGACATACTGTACAACATTCTGAGGGCCTTGACAGGGTCGGCATGGAGCTGATGTATTCTCTTATGGGAGAATCTAGCATTAGGGATCAGAGGTTAAAAATTAGATGTTGCCGATTTAAAACAAAGATCCGTTGTTTTATTTTCCTTGCAGAGGGTTGAATCTTTGTACCTCTCTTCATCCAAGGATAGTGGAAGCAGCCTTTGAATATATTTAAGGCATAGCTGGATAGGTTCTTATTAGGCAATGATAGATTTTCAAGTGTAGGCAGGAATGGGGATCTCAGCTTACAATCAGATCAATTATGATTGTAAGAAATGGCACAGCAAGGCCTAGTCCTGCTTCTAATTCATATGTCCTTTTCCAGAAGTACAAAGATAGATGCTTCTACACCAGTTAACTTTACGATTTCTTTTGGACCCTACTCTTGCCTCTCATTTCCATTATTCTCTCAGGGCACGTAGGTTAGCAATTGTAGAAATTCCTTAATTGACCTTGACTCGGATGGTTTTCAGAGGGGGACAGTGATTTGCATTTGCACATAACCAGGCCAGACAAGGGTGACATTGTTATCCAGGTGGTGGTTTACCTCACGGTCACACCGTAGGCCAATGGTTAATTGCAGGTTTTATTAACCAAATGTAAATTCCGCCCACTGCCAAGAGCATTAGCCTGAAACAGAAAGAAACAGAAAATGCTGGAGGAACGCAGCAGGTCTGGCAGCATCTGAGGAGAGAAAACAAAGAGTTAACGTTTCAGTTCCAGTGACCCTTAACAACATTTGCACCAATTCCGAATTTAGTTATTCGCTTACTTTAAAATATAGCTTTGATAAATCGGAAGTAGTTCTTTTTTACAGGTAGTTTTTACAGAACTTCTGCGGCGTGAAAGAATTATAGATCGAAACCTGGGCCCAGATTTTTGTGCGCAGGCGCAGTTCCGGGCGGCCGGCAGCAGTGCGCGGGCACAGTGCGCAGGCACGGGTTCCGGGCGGCCGGACACAGTACGCAGACGCGGTTCCGGGCGGCCGGGAGCAGTGCGCAGGCACGGGTTCCGGACGGCCGGACACAGTACGCAGACGCGGTTCCGGGCGGCCGGGAGCAGTGCGCAG